TTTTGCAACAGAGTCTTGCTCTGTCATGCAGGCTGGAATGCAGTGGCGTGATCTCGGCTTACAGCAACCTCTGCCCCCTGGATTCACGTGATTCTCCTGCCTCAGCCTCCCAAGTAGCTTGGACTATAGGCACATGCCACCACACCCAGCTAATTTTTGTACTTTTAGTAGAGACAGGGCTTCGCCATGTTGGCCACGCTGGTCTCTAACTCCTGACTTCAGGTGATGCACCCACCTCGGCCTCCCAAATTGCTGGGATTACAGGTGTGAGCCACCACACCCAGCCTTTTGTCATACTTCCATCAACTAATTTTAATATTTGTCAATTATTTCTTGTCTATAACAATTATTACTGGAGTGTTCACCTAACAGTGATTTTCTATTTGCATCATTCCTTCTATATTTATTAATTTGTATACTCTTATTCAAAGAAATTGCTACTCTTTCTCCCTCATTTACTTATTTATTTATTCCATGCTTTATTTATGTCAGTATGGGCTCATGGATATAAATTTGTTTTATTGGTTATAATGTATTAGAAAGAATAAGAAAGCAAAGAAGGAGCAAAAGGGAAAATGAAGAAAGGCAGTGCTAGTCTTTCTTCAGAATATTACTGACAAGGTAAAAAGGTCACTTTAGTAATACTGCAAACTTAGAAAATTATGTATGAAAAGTATTCTATGATAAAATATGTTAGAATTTTAGAACATAAAGCTATGGTAAGTTTTTAAAATAGTACTTACATATTTTGGTTATTCAATATTAAAATATAAAGATAGAAATTTTATTTTTGTAAGGCATAAAAAGAACTATTAACTCAAACCTCAAGCCATTGCCCAAACAAATGCATTTTGTTCCTAGGAAGTGCCTGACTCAAGCCTGTCCTCTCCTTAATTCATCCCACACATTAGCATCTGTATACCAGAACAACCGTCAAGTTATCTGTGAATTCTTTTTCTATCATTAAGATTTTGGAAATATTTATCTGAGTATTTAAAAAAAAAAACTATTTGGTGACTGTATAAAATCAAAATACTAGTAGTGTTGATAGTGGTGAAAAATCCACATGGGTCTGCAGCAACCTCAATTCTTATCTCCTCAGAAGAAAGAATTCAACCAAGGGACATAAGGCAGAGTGAGAAACCCAGGCAAGTTTTAGAGCAGGAGTAAAAGTTTATTGAAGTTTCAGAGCAGGGCTGAGAGTGGTGGCTCATGCCTGTAATCCTAGCATTTTGGGAGGCTGAGGCGGGCAGATTGCCTGAGCTCAGGAGTTGGAGACCAGCATGGGCAACAGGGTGAAACCCTGTCTCTACTAAAATAAAAAATACAAAAGTTTCAGAGCAGGAACAAAAGTAAAGTACAATTGGAAGAGGGCTGAGCCAGTGACTTGAGAGATTCATGTGCATAGTTTGACAATTGACTTTTTTTAAAAAGTGGTAATCAATTTATTAATATAGCTGACTTCAGTGTCTGCAATGTTGACTTCCACCTCAACTCCTGGCTCAATCCTGATGGAAGTAATCTGCTTAACAATCTCAGAAGGATGGTGCAAATCAATGAGTCCCTTGTGGATACTCATTTGGAAATGATTCCATGTCTTAGAACCTTCACCACAAGGAGTTTTTCTTGTAGTGGTTCTCAAAGCTTCGGTAGGCAATGCAACTTGTCCTTTCACTTTGAGATTCTTTTCCTTTGCTCCTCTAATCAAGTCAGCACACATATTCTCCAGGGATTTTACGTTGTAGCTCTGTAGAGTGATTCAAATTCAGTGAATTGCCACCTTTGGCTCCACGGGTGTTTTTCCAGTATCCTTAAAAGCCATGGCTGAGGCGGCTTCCTGACCGACTTGTTCCTCGGGGACAGCAAACATTAGTGAGTCAGGAGCAGGAACATGTGGACCGAGATCCATCACAACTACAACCCGGTCTTCCTCAAAATGCTACTTGGGGTTTTATACATGGGTATCCTTTGGGATCTTCCCTCATTTCTTCTCCCCTGATTCTTCCTTTGGATTCTTCTTTGTCCACATGTGCAGTGAGCTGCCAACACTTGGGAGGGGCTGCATGCACAGTGTGCTTACTGATGTTGTGCACATGCTTATTGAGGCGTTTTTCTCTTACCGATTGAGTGTTCCTATAATGTCATATACCAGTTAAACTCCGCCATTTTGCCTCTTAGTGCGCCTACGTGAGCTCACTCACCCAGCTCCTGAGATCTTATCAAAAGCTGTGGATCACCAGTTTCAGTTGTTTCTATTTGTTAAGAGACTGCCTTTCCCTGGTGCTGGCTGCAACCAATTATTATTTCAGAGGCAGCTAAACCACCACCTGACCATCACCTGATGGTGGCCTAACATTCCTGGTGGTGGGACGGGTGCCCTCTCCTGCCCTGCTCATGTTTCCTTGACTACCTACCATAACAGTTTCATGTGCTATATACACATGCATTTCTCTAAAACACTTCCACAAATAGCAATGTCTTACTACTCCTGCTAACTTGATAAGGAATCCACAGGATAGCATAGTGTCAAAATTGAAATGAAAGTATAGTTTGGTATTTATGTTTCTAAGACACTCTATTTGTCGTCTTCATACCTGAAATGTCCATGCTATTTTCACAATTTCCCTATCCTTGTAACAGTTTGAGCCTCCTGTTTAAACTTACTTCCACTCAGATCACTTTCATAATTCCTGTTCTTAAGTTCATGTCTTCTCAATGTATTATTTTTCTCTGTCCTACTTGGCAATAAACTCCACTCACTTGACTATAATCTCTAGCAAAGTATGGATCCTGCCTCTTGTTCCCTACTTGGTGTCCAGTGCTTTCCATAAAGCAATGGCATAAAGAGGATGCTTGATAACTATTTACTGAAAAAAGGGTGAATGAATGGCAACTTCTTCAAGCCCAAACATTAACTTACATGACCATTAGTTAGGGAAACACTAGCTGCTCTTGGAACATAGTTCTATCAATTAAGTGGCAGCACATTTTACTTCACATCCAGGGTATGTAGATGTGCCCATAGGTTTTGTTTTGATTCTACTTATTTTAAATCTGTGAAGCAGTTCAAGGTAACATACACACACACAAAAAAAAGGAAAGTTTTACTACACCAAATATCTATTATATTCTGGGCTGAGATGTTAAGACTCAGAAAAAGTCTAAATATAAATGAATATAATATAAACAACATCCTAAATTTAAACATAAATACAATTCTATGGGTTTACATACAAGAGTGTGCAAACGTGAAACAAAGCATTATTTTTATTGCTTGTCACAGCTTCTTATACTCCTCATTAATGCATACTTAATGTTTCTATTTGGCAACATCATGCATCAATAATTATACTCTCTGATTATTTTAATTTCCTAATTAATCTAAACACCAAATTATTTTGTTTTGTTTTACTGGTGGGTGGGTGGAGTCCTTTAAAAATGTCATGTCTTGACAGGCTGGGGCCTCCTACCTCCTACCTCCCACCTGGGACTACAAGCCTGACATAGAGGCCAAAGCCCGGATGACAGTGCCCAGGCCATGTATATGAGGTCTCTGGTACTATCTCCAGAATATGGCATGCATCAGATGCTGAAGGAGATGAACTTTGAGAGGGAAATTCACTTGGTAACCATGAAGAAGAATGGCTACAATGCTCCTTAATCTCCAAGCCACAATGGGTGCTACGCAATGTGCTATTCTTGCTAGGAAGCAGAGTCAAGTTACTGGTATCCCCAAATCCACAAAGTGCTGCTGCCTGCACCAGGCACACTGTAGCAGCACAGCTTTTGCTTTCTCACAGCTTAACTTCAAGGTGGCAGATGATGACAACTCCAGACTGCACAATGTTGCTTTGAAGGGTCAAAAAGACCTTTGTTCTTCCCTGAAACTCAGATCATCCCTAAGGCTGTCTGGGTTGGAAAGGCATGAGCAACATGTGACCTGATGCCCTGTAATAGTACCTGTTATGGACTAAATATGTGTATCTCCTTCACCTTCCCAATTAATATGTTGAAGTTCTAACACCCAATGTGATAGTATGAAGATACAGGGTCCTTGGGAGATAATTAGGGTTAGATGAGGTCATGAGGGTAGGGTCCTCATGATGGGATTAGTGCCTTTATAAAAAGGGTCACTAGAGACCTTGCTCTCCCTCTCTCTGTCTCTGTCTCCCTACACATGCACAAAAAGGTATGTAAGGACATAGCAAGAAGGAGGCCATTTGCAAGGCAGAATGAATAGGCCAGCACTTTGATCTTGTATTTTCCAGCCTCCAGAATAATGAGAAATAAGTTTATATTGTTGAAACCACCCAATCTAAGGTATTTGCTATGGCAGCCCAAGCAGACTAAAACAGATTTAGGTACCAAAAAGTGGGGTACCACTGTAACAAATATCTAAACATATTTGTGCAAGTGGCTTTGGAACTGGGTACTGGGTAAAAGCTGGAAGAGTTTTGAGGCAAATGTTAGAAATACGGGCATTAGTGATTCTTGTGAGGTCTCATAGAAGTGAATAATCTGTTATCAGAACTAGAGGAAAGGCAATCCTTGTTATAAAGTGACAAAAACTTGACTAAATTGTGTACTAGTGTTTTGTGGAAGGCAGAACTTGCTTGCAATGATACTACATATTTAGCTAAGGAGATGTGTAAGTAAAGTGTTGAATGAGTGGCTTGGTTCTTCCTGATTGCTTATAGTAAAATGTGAATGGGGAGAGAGGAAGTAAAGAAGGAATTGTTACAGGCACACAAAACTTGAAGCTTTAGTAAGTTCTCATCTGACCATATTGCAAAAAATAAGAAAGCATGTTCTGAAGAAGCACACCAGACATGTTGCTAGACTATCACTTGTTAAAGAGCTTATGGAATTATGCAAAGTGAAACACTGCAGTTTAAGCCAAAGGGCATAGAGATGGGATGAAATAAAGGAAGGCTTTTACCCCTCTTGGATTTGATAGGATGGGATGATAGTGCCATTTGGCAGCAAACATGCACTATTCATCAGGAAGAGGCAATAATGACCCCAAAGCTGATTAAGAACGTGATCAAGGCCAATATCTTTGTTTCCACAAGCCGAAAGACCTCTGCCTGAAGCTGTTGGGGCAGAACCCAGACCTGCCAAAGAGCAATACTGCCACCATAGTGCATGCGGAGAACAGAGCATCAAGCAAAAGAGGATTATCCTCAAGCCTTAGGATCTAATGAAATTTGCCTTACCAGGTCTTGGAACTGTCACTCCTTTCTTTCTTATGAAATGGCCCTTTTTGAATAGAAATGTTTATCTTATGCCTGATCTACCATAGTATTTTGAAAGCATATAACTTTTATGATTTTATAGATTCACAGCTGCAGATGAAATTTACCTCAGTATGAATCATACCTCCAGTTTCACCCTCATTTTATTTAGATGAAACTGAACTTTAGACATTAGAGTTGATGCTGGAATGAGTTAAATCTTTTGGGGCTATTGGGATAGAATTAATGTATTTTTCATGAAAGAAAGACATGTATTTTGGCAGGCCAAGAATGGAATTTAGGGACTGAATATTTGTATCCCCTACTCCCAAATTCATATGTTAATGTCCTAACCCCCAATGTGATAGTATTTCAAGATGGGGCCCTTGGGAGATAATTAGTATTAGATGAGGTCATGAGGATGTGGCCCTCATGGTGTGATTAGTGCCCTTATTAAAAAAGGAAGGAAGACCAGCTCTTGCTCTCTCGTTCTCTCTTTCTCTCTCTCTCTTCCCTCCTTCCTCTCTCCCCTCTCTCTCTTCCCCCCACCTCTGATGATAGAAAATATCATCAGGGTATAAAAATACCCCTATTTTTTAGAAAGAGGTCAGAGGGGAGACCACAGAGCAGATTTGAGGGGGTGAGGATTGCAAGTGCTAAAGCTTGAACAGACTATCAAACTCCAAATTATTCATGTGATGATGCCTACTCATTTGTGAGGGAAAGAGGGAGATCCCTCCCTCCATACAAAAGATTAATTTCTAGGGTATAAAATACCCACATATAAAAATCCAAACTATGTAAGTATTAGAAATAAATACAAAATATATGACACAAATCAAAAGTTCTATAAAAGAAAATCTTGACAAGTTGAGTACATAAAAATTTTGAACTGCTATAAAAAAGACAACATTAAACATAAGCGACAAAGCAAAAGATTGCTATATATGTGTTAAAAAGGATTCATATCCAGAATATGTTTTGTTTTGTTTTTGAGACAGGCTTTCACTCTGTAGTCCAGTCTGGAGTGCAATGACGCAATCATGGCTCATTGCAGTCTCCACCTCAGTGGCTCAGGGGATCCAGTGTCAGCCTCCTGAGTAGCTAGGACCACAGGTATGCACCACCACATCTAGCCAAGATTTAAATTTTCTGTAGAGAAGGGATCTCCCTATATTGCTCAGGCTGGTCTTGAATTCCTAGGCTCAAGCAATACTCTCACCCTTGGCCTCCCAGAGTACTGGGATTACAGGTGTGAACTACTGCCCCCAGCCCCAAAATATGTTATAAAGCTCCTACAAATCAAAATAAAGGGACCAAAGAAAGTTTAGCAAAAGATATGGGCTGACCATTCACAAGAGATCATACCAAACAACAACAACACAAAATGGTGCTTACCCTTAGTAGTAATTAGGAAAATGCAAAATAAAGCAAAAAGTCAATGGCATTTTTGACCCTTTAGATTGTTACTAATAATGGCTTTCTGATAGAATCACAGATGTTGGCAATATTTGGTGCTCTTGTGCCAAACAGTCTTCTCAGTGTTTTACGTATATTAACTCATTTAATCCTCACAATAACCCTATGA